CACAGTATTAAAGAGTTCGGTGCAGACAGAATGTTCCAGGCGTATGCATACTTGTGTCATTGAAATTTTGGCTGAATGCTAAACAACTTACATGTAGGATAAAGCTAAGTGGGTCCGGGGGTGGGGTGAGGGGTGGGGGAAGTGGTGGGGCCGCTGCTGGGGATTAGCGAGCTCACAAGTACAAATGAGAGGCATCCAAGATCCAACAAAGAAGACAAAGGTTATGATGGTTAGAGGCAGTCATGTGAAATCATTGATTTTTACATATTAATGATTTTTACATCTTAAATAAAATTTAGACTCACACAAGAACACAAATGAAAATAATAAACAAGACTAGAATGAAATTTTGGAGCGGAAAGGGTAACATCTGAAACGTACAATTGCACTCACTCACACTCACCGAGTCGATTCCCACGCATGATGACCCTACAGGACAGAGTAGACGTGTCCTAGTTAATTTCCCACATGAACACTCTTTACAAGAGGACAATGTTTCCTCTCTCTCTGGGAGGGCAGTGTGTGGCTTCAGTTGGTGACCCCATGGTAAGCAGCCCAAACCAGGGTGTGGCCCACTGCCCCCAAATTACAATGACTGGGTTTAAAAGCTATACATTCACAGGCCAGGATACTCAATGAATACCAAGTAGAAGAAAATAAAAATGCTAGAAACAAGAACTGTACACATGGAATCCTGTACCCTGTACAAATATTCTGTAAAAAAATAAAGACAATAAAATGGCTTTTTCAAACAGCAGCAACAAAAAAAATAAGAGGAAAGCTTTTACCACTCTTTGACTTTTATGATAAGAAATGTTGAACGTCTTCAGAGTGTAGTAGAATTATAGCATATGAAACTTGAGCCCAACAAATTACTGAAAATTCCTGAAAATGTTACGATTTATAAATATACTTTTTTCTTATATTTTAATTTTCTTACAGTATAAATGATTTCATAATTAGAGTAGATTGATGGCTACTTCCATGAACATTGATTGTGGATCGAGAAAGAGAAAAACTTTGACATGTTTAATATTTCTCCATTTATAATTATATTATCTATTGGTCCAGCTGTAAGGATTTTAGTTTCCTTTACATTGAGTTGCAATACATATTGAAGGTTGCAATTCTTGATTTTCATTAGCAAGTGCTCTAATTGCTCCTGGCTTTCAGAAAACAAGGTTGTGTTGTCTGCATTAAACAGATGGCTAGTAAGTATTCCTCCATTTCTGATGCCCTGTTCTTCATATAATCCAACTTCTAAGATGATTTCTACTGCATGCAAAAGAATGGTGAAAGGCTTGCACATATGTTACAACTCGTACATATAACGTTCCTGATTGTAATTTATGCGGTAGCCCCTGGTTCTATTCAAATGATTGCCATGTACCAGGTTCTGCATGAGCTCAGTGAAGTGCTCTGAAATTCAATATTTTTTAAAAGCTAACAATGATTTGTCATGATCCACACAGTTGAATAGTATTTGCTTAATCAATAAAACAGGAAAAAAACCCCATCTTTCTGGTGTTTTCTGCTTTCAGTTGAGATTCATCTGCCATAAAAATTCCACTTTAATTCTTGGTAACTCTTTGTTGATGTACTGCTGCAACCACTTCAACAAAATGTTACTTGCATGTGATATTAATAATATTGTTAAATAATGTTCAAATTCTGTTGGATGCCTTTTTTGGAATGGTCATAAATACAGATCACTTCTGGTCAGCTGGCCAGGTGTTCTGAATTTCTTCTCATCAACCAATGCATTTTCAGTACTTCATCAGCTTGTTAATAATTTTCCATTGGCATTCCATCTAATTCCTGGAGCCTTGTTTTTCCCTAATGACTTCAGTGCAGCTTGGATATCCTCCATCAATATAATCAGTTCTTGGACATATAATACCTCCTAAAATGTTTGTATGTCAATCAGTTCTGTTTAGCTTAGGGACTCTGTGTATTCCTTCCCTCTTCTTTTGATGGTTCCGGTATCATTCTATATTTTGAACATGTAATTTTCAGTATTGCAACTCAAGGCTTGACTTTTTTCAGTTCTTTCATCTTGAGTTTGATATATACTGAGCTAGATTTTCCTTTTTGGTGTTTTTACTCCAGATCTCTGTATTTCATTACAATATATTATTTTGTCTTCTCGAGCTGCTTTTGACATTTTCTGTTTAGCTTTTTTATTTCATCATTTCTTCCATTTGCTTTAATTGATCTATGATCAAGAGCAAGTTAGAGTACCTTCTAACATCTACTTTAATAATTTCTTTCCTGTCTTTTTAATGATCTTTTGTTTTCTTCAGATATGGTGCTTTTTAAAAAAAAGTTATTTTTTAAGTGGGAGTTAATACATACATATACTATATTATTCCATAATTCAATCACATCAAGCAGTTGCTGCCACAATCTGTTTCCAACCATTCTTTTTCTTCCTAATTCCTTGACATCATCTCCCACCTCCCCCCAACACCACTGTACATGTCCCCCACCCCCAAATCCTTATTCTACTTGCTGTCCCTAAACTTCATCCATCTTGATGTCATCCAACAACTCAACAGGTCTTCTGATACAGCGTTACCTATTTTTGAGATATTATCAAGCTTCAAGTGGGATATACTCAAGGTCATGTTTTGTCTCTTGCGAACTTATTTTATTTTGCTTCAACTTCAACCTGAACTCACAAAGGGGTAACTGATAGTCTGTCCCCAGATCAGCCTCTGGGCCTCATTTTGGCTGCTGATATTGAGCTTCTCCATTATCCTTTCCCAAGGTTATAGTCGATTGGATTATTGTGTATTTCATGTAGCTAGTGTATGTGTGTAGCATTTATTTATGTTTTTGAGAAGAGGCATTTGCAATGAAGAAGTCATTGATCTTGCAAAATTCTATCATGTCATCTCTTAATTTCATTTCTATCACCAAGCCTTATAGTCCCACTAGTGCTCCTTTTTTGTTTCCAATTTTTGCATTCCAATTGCCAATAATTATGAATGTATCTTGTTTGCAAGCTTGATCAACTGGAGACTGAAACAGTTGGTATAATTTTTCATATCTACTTTTAGTGGTTTGTGGATAAGCTTGAATAATAGTTGTATTAGGGGGAGTTCCTCGTCTGCATATGGATATTACCTTAACACACATATCACTGTACTTCAAGTTATATCTTGAAATATTTTTTGATGATGAATGCAATGTCCTTCCTCCTGAATTTGTCGTTCCTGACAAAGTATTATGATTTTCTGATTCAAAATGGCCAATGCCAGTCCATTTCAGATCACTAATGCATAGGATATTGATCTTTATGTGTTCCTTTTCGTTTTTTGAGGGCTTCTAATTCTCCTAGATTCATGCTTCATATATTCCAAGTTCTGATTATTTTCAGTCATGCCTCATTTGTAAACTAAAGTCCTGAAAATTTTACTCGATCCCTTATGGTCAACTCTACTTTGAGAAGGTAGCTCTTCTTTAACCCTAAATAGAGTGCCTTCCCACCTGACGGCCTGCTTTTCTGATGTGATATCTGACAATATTGCCCTGCATTCATAAGATCTTCAGTGGCCAGTGCCTCAGAAGTGGATAGCCTGTTCTTTCTGCACAGTCTGTCCTTAGTCTGGAAGCTCTCCTGTAGCTTGCTGACCATGGGTGAGATTGCTGGTATGTAAACTACTGATGATAGAACTGCAGAATCACAGCAACATGCAAGCCAACACAGTCCAATAAACCAACAGACAAGTTGTGTGATAACGGCATTAGAATTACTTAAATGTAACTGAAAATATTATTTGCTGCTAAAGACCAATATCTCTCATGCTGTTGTTGTCAAACACGGGCAGTTGGTTTTTGACTCTTAGCAACCCCACGTGACTGAGGAGGACTGTGCTATAGCACTTTCTGGATTGTAAGCCTCGTAGGAGCAGATTCCCTATTCTTTCTCCCATTGAGTCATTGGGTGAGTTATCACTGGCAATTGGTGGTTAGCAGATGAACATTTAAACATTGTGCTACTAGGATGCCTAGGTATATAGATATAAAAATCCTCAAGTAAATACTAGCAAATCCCACCCAGATTTATACAAAACATATAATGTATCACGATCAAATGTTTATCCCACAAATACAATTACACTTACAATTCAATAAATTAAAATTTCTATAATTACAGAAGGAGAAAAACTATGAATAATTTCATTAAAGGTATGCAAAAACATTTGACCAAAATTAACATCTTTTATAATGAAAAAAAATCGAATTCAAGAATAGAATGGAGCTTGATTAATTTTATAAAATACAAATTTGAAAACCTTGTCACTAACATATTTAATGATGAAAGACTTACAGAGTTTCTCCTTAAGATAAAGTGTATGGAATAAGTGATTCCTTTTTTACCATTCCCTTTCAATATTATTCTAAACACTTTTGTAATAATGCAAAAGAGAGAGAGAATGTATATTGATTAGACTGGAAGTAAAACTCTAAACCAGATGTTATTTATATGTGTAAATATATATATAAATTTTGTACACATAAAATTCTAAGAACTGCATAGGAGATTATCTATATAATACAAATATATGAATACAAAAGCAACTATTAAAATAATTTACTTATTAACAATGAACATTTAAAATTAAAATAAATAATACACTGATCTAAAATAGCATCCAGAATACAGTAACATGTGTTTAAGAACTCTTTAATGAGCTATACAAAACAATGCTAAGAAAAATTAAGAAGAATCCAAACAAATAGATCATGCTCATGGATTGGATAGCTTAATATTGTTAAAATATTTACTGTATAAGTTCTAAACTGTTTGGATTTAGTAGATTAAAAAAACATCCAGCTGATTCTAAAATTTATTTGGAAAGGCTAAGAATCTAGTATTGTTCAAATAATTTTGAAGACAAACAAAGAGCAAAGTTGACAGACTTACTCTGCTTTCAAGACTTACTATAAAACTCTGGCCTCTTTCCGCACCTGGATGAGCAGGAGGCGCCATCATGGGAGGTGACATCCACCACAAGGACCGAAAGGTTCGTCGCAAGGAACCCAAGAGTCAGGACATCTCCCTGCGCCTCCTGGTCAAGCTATACAGGTTTCTGGCCAGGCGGACCAACTCCACCTTGAACCGCACCAACCGGCCGCCCCTGTCGTTCTCTCAGATGATCCGGAAGATGAAGCTTCCTGGCCAAGAACACAAGACACCGATGGTCGTGGGGACCATCACGGATGATGTGTGGGTGCAAGAGATGCCCAAGCTGAAGGTGTGCACCCTGCGAGTGAACAGCCGGGCCCGGAGCCACATCCTCAAGGCTGGGGGCAAGATCCTCACCTTTGACCAGCTAGCCCTGGACTCCCCCAAGGGTTGTGGCACTGTCCTGCTGTCTGCTCTGTATAGCTCTCTGTCCCCCCCTTTCCAGGTCCACGCAAGGGCCCTGAGATGTATAGGCATTTCTACAAGGCACCAGGGACCCCCCGCCCCCCCCACAATCACACCAAACCCTATGTTCGCTCCAAGGGCCAGAAGTTTGAGCCACCCAGAGGCCAACGTGCCAGCCGAGGCTACAAAAACTAACCCCAGGTCCCGTCCTGTTATTAAAACATTTTGGATGTTTAAAAAAAACTAAAAAACTCTGAAGAGATAATGACAGTTTATTATTGGCATAAGAATAAGCATATGGGTCAGTGTAACAAAACAGTATAGAAATAAGCTTACACACATACAGAAATAGGGTTTCAACCTAGATAATTAAATTGGAAAACATGCTTCTCACAGTACTAGAGCAATGGCATATGTACATGAAAAAAATGTATATTAATTCACACTATATAAACCTTTAATGGATTGAAAAAGATCATAAAATTAAAGTGTTCTGTAGAACTCTAAATTTTTCAGTAACAGGAAAACTCTGGCTATCATAGGTAAACATTTTCTGCATTTTTTTCTTTACAAATTGAAGGTGAATGAACTACGTTTATTGCTTCCATTTTCCCAACACCAGGTTCTCACTCTGCATCTCTGTATCCCATGTTGATAAATTTATCATTTTTTCAAACTCTTCCATAAAATGCTATCGCACACTTAATAAACTATAGTCCAAACATAACTTTGACATGTGTTGTGAAACCAAATCATCCATGTGACACATTTTTTGCAGTATTCGCTTTATTGGGGTGGTCTGAAACACAGCCTGAAATATTGCTGAAGCATACCTGTAATTACATAGGTTTTAAAAAAATATTTTACAAAGAAGCCCTGTAGCTGATTTTTTACATCCTTACTTATATTAATTCCAAATTGAAAACGACTGAAATGTCCAACAGTAATTGAACGGAACAATATGATGACATATTCATACAATGGAACATTCTTCAGCTAGCAGTTAATAAGACGCACAATCACATAGTTAAGGCTAAGAAGAAGTCACATCGTAATATTCTATTTCTATGAAATTCTAGAGGATGTCAAATTAATTTTTAGTAATTTCCTGGGATTGGAGTTTCAATTTTCTCAGAAATGTCGAGAGGGACCTTGATGGGGTTAAACAAATGCTCTAGTTCTTGAATTGTCATGCTGTGTCTGAGATTTTTAAAATTCATCAGGTAATATCATTTACATTGCATATTTTGTTGTTGTAGAATTCACACATCAATTATTTGTTTTCATTTATAATCTAATTATCACTGACTCAGTAAAAACAATCTTAAAATTTGAAATCTTCTCGTGTCTGTCGATGATATTGTCCTCAGTGTTAGTTTGCTTTTCTTTTTAGTGACTCTTCCTGATCTCTTTCTCTTCGAACTCAAAAACCAAGCCCACTACCAACTCTTAGTCACTCCAACTAGTTTTCTGAGCCTATCAATCGGAAGGGAGGAGGCAGCTGCATTTTTCTCCTTTACAGCAGTCGGTGGGTTGGAGCAATGAGCTTTGTGGTGAGTGGCCCAGCACCTTTGTTTAGGCTTTCAGTATTTGAAAATGCTTCGAAGCTGTGCATAAGATTTTCAGCAGCTTCTTCCGCTTAAGTGAGGAGGTGAGTCCGTTGTCATTGTGCTGGAGAGGAATCTTGAAATGGGCTGCTGAAAGGACAAACCAATCTGTACTGGAAGAAGTAAGGCCAGAGTGCTCCTTAAAGACAAGGGTGGCAAGACTTGTCTTAAATACTTTGGACATGTTATCAAGAGGAGACAGTCCCTGCAAAAGGACATCATGTTTGGTAAAGTGGAGGGGCAGGGAAAAAGTGGAAGGCCCTCAACAAGATGGATGGACACAATGGCGCATCAATGGGCTCAAGCACAGGAACAATTGTGAGGATGGCACAAGACCATGCCATGTTTTGTTCTGTTGAGCATAGACTCCTCGTGGGTAGGCACCAACTCGATGGCCCCTAACAATAGCACCTTGCCCACAGTGTCACCAGGCTATAATTCAGTATATAATAGTTCCTTACTTCATGGAAATCACTACAGCAAAGGCTGAGTTCCTTACTCCATGGAAGATGGGTCTCGTGAAGGCTGTTTCAAGTTTTATCAGGGTTGTTATTTTCCCCAATGTATCCTCAATTCAGAGGCTCCTTATAGCACCTTCGTCTCACTTTGTTGCCATTTTGAAGACCTCAGAGCCATTGTTGTTTAGAAAAGTGTTTACTAAAAATTTACCCTCTTGTATGACCCAGAATTTAAACCACTATCCTCTATGTCAGCAGTACTAACAATGATGGCAGCATTCTGTTTTCCTACTATATATATAGAAATTGACAGGCCTTACTTTTGAGAGTCCTCTGAGTGAACTTTAATCTTCAACCTTTCCTCAAGTAACCAGGTGAATTAACCATTTATACTAACCATTTATGCCACTCAGGATCTCTAATAACCCTTCTTGAATGCCACCATTCATGCCCAGCACGTCAAGATGCCCACAGTGCTTTCTCCTGGATGCTCTGTTGGCTCCCTCATGTATTCACAGGTTGAGAGTCTGAAAATGCCAGGATGCCGGATTATAAAGTGAATTGTAGACTCCTTTTCCTGTAGGTCCTTCATGTCCCACATTGTGCTTCCTTAAGTTCTGATTTTTGTTTGTCTGTTTTGGGAGGGAGGAATGGTTTTAATTAATTTTAAGCAGATGTTGTCTGAGTACCTGCTATGCTTCTGCAGCAATGGAAGATGTTTTGGGATTAAATGTGGCTCTATCTGCTGCGGAGATCTTAGAGTTAATGAAAAGATTACCAAGAGATGCAATATAATGCTAGAAGACTATCTGGCATTATTTAAAATAAGTGACTATAAGATGCTGAATTTAACATTATCAAATGCAATGAGTGATCAAATACTGGCTCTAAGTGGGAAAATTAATTCTGGCTGGACTTGGGAACAATTTCGTGGAGGGGATGCTAGTTGAGCTGAATTTTAACTGAAGAACTGAGGCTTTGCAATTGAGATTACACATGGCATGGGTTCTAACAATCCACTCAGCAGCACCACAGGAGACGGAAGCCAACAAACACAGGGGCAAGGATTAGGATGCCTGGTGGGGCTTGATCAAATGCAATGTAGCCGAGAGGAATTAATGAAAGGCGAATAAAGGTCAAACATGATCCTGGGAATAGAGGAAAGTAAAAGAAAATAGAGGAAAGAAGTAGGAGGCAAAGGACATTCATAGAGATATAAATACAGACACATACACATGTAAATATATTTATATATAATGATAGGGAAATAGATCTATGTTCATATATTTATATGTTAAGTATTAAGTTAGAAAATTGATATTGGGCCTCTACTTTTTTCTAATAACCTGGCATTCTGTAATGCTCATCTTACCGACATGCTCACTGAAGACAAAATGGGTGCGTGAGCAAATGTGGTGAAGAAAGCTGATGGTGCCCAGCTATTAAAAGATATAGCGTCTAGGTCTTAAAAGCTTGAAGATATAAAAGCAGCCAACAAAACCCCCATGGCAGAAGCACACAGCCTGTGGGATCATGAGGTGTCCACAGGATCAGATATCAGGCATGAGAAGACCCCAAACAATCATATCCATGCAAATGAGGGTGTGTGTGTGGAGTGGAGACCCAAAGCCCACAGAAGGGTCACAAGGAAGGGACCAGCAAGCCAGGATGCAGCATAGCAGTGACCAAACATACAGCATCCTTCTAGTTCTTTAATGCTGCCCACCTCATCATGACCCCAGTTCTCCCTTACAAATCCAGCCAGACCAGAGCATGTACACTGGTAAAGATAAGAGCTCTAGACACATGGACTCCAGGACCGATAAATTCCTCAGGAACAATAATGGGAGTAGCAATACGATGAGGGTTGGGGGATGGTGATGCGAGAAGGAGGAATGCTCACATATAATCACCCCCTACCCAGAGTGAGGAACAGCAGAAACATGGGGGAAGGGAGACAGTGGATGGTGTAAGATACAAAAATTAAAATTTATAATTTAACATGGGTTTATGAAGGTGAGGGGGGTGGGAGGAAAAATATGAGGAGCTGATACCAAGGGGTGAAGTAGAAAGAAAATATTTTGAAAATGATGATGGCAACATATGTACAAATGTGCTTGACACCATGGATGTATGGATGGTGAGAAGAGCTGTAAGAGCCCCCATAACAGGATTTTAAAAAAAGAAGAAGAAAAGCCTGATGAGTTGCTTTCATAAAGATAAAAGCCAAGGAAACCTGATGAAGTAGTTCTACTTTTACCATATGGGGTTACCTGATTGGAGTGGGCTTGATGGCAATGGGTTTGGCTTTTCTGGTTTGGGGAGGGGCATCACCAGCCACATCCTGAATTGAGCACACCAACCATCGTGCCGATCTTACAGGATTGGGCAGCATTTCATTGTGTTGTGCACAAGGTCAGCATGTGTTGACACAACTTGACAGCACCAACAACAGAAGGTGAATCCGAGTAGGAGATCGTGTTTCCAGTGGGATCTCAAGACGGGTACTGCCCAGATCATGAAGGTCATGGAGTGGAGGGAAAATGGGTCCCTTGAGTCAGGAGGCAAAGACTAATTAGATGTCTTATCATAATTACATACTTAGTGACAGAGTAAGGCTAACGCAACGTTTCGATCCTGCTTCCGTGTTCCCTTCTCATGGAGTTGTTAGAAGCCATCGAGTCAGTGCTGACTCATAGTGACCCTATGCACAATGGAAGGGAACACTGCCCACACTCCTGCACTGTCCTTACAATTGTCTCCATCAGCGAGTCCCTCATTGCAGTCTCCATTGATCGATCTCCTTGAGGATCTTCCTTGCTTCCCCTTTACTTTACCAAGCATGATGTCCTTCAGAAACATCCTCCCTCCTAGGCACATTTATTCTCCGGTGCTTTTGAAAAGAGTTATACCATCTTTTATCTGGAAACTGGGAAAGAACTGTTGCCTGGACTCCACATCAATGGATTCATCTGGGAAATCTATGAAAAGAGCTGATGAATTTTTTTGTTATTCTCAGGTTTGACGTGGAACATAAAGAGATGCTTATGGCCTATTCAAGAGAGTGTTGACAACTGAGAACTGAGTAAGAATGACATACTCAGGATGGAATCACACAATGCTGGAAGAT